TATGCAAAAACTATGCTTACAGTAAGTATTTGTAAGCGTAGTTTCTAGCTAAGAAACAGATAATGCTGAGCTCTGCACTTTCTCTGTTTTGCTTTGGTTTACTACATAATCACAAAGTAATAAAAGATCGGTTGCTTTATAGGATCAGCAGGTCAGTTTTATCTACATGTTGATGTTCAGATGGAAACACACACCTGCAGGCAGGCACAGGGCCATCCTGCGGCACACCAAAGCATTTGCTTCAGCCCTCTGAGGTGGCTTGGTAAACAAAAGTTGGATAGCAAAGAAAAGTCCCTTATAAGGCATGTGGTTGGGATGGGAGTGTGGCTTTCTGGAGCTCCAGCTAATTGTACAGTTGGAACCAAGGGTTTAAAGACTAGCCTAGGCATGGAAAATCATTCAGGATTGCACAATTCTTCCCCTGAGGTATAGAAATGGCATTTATTTCTCAGATTATTTCACAGAAACAGTTACCCATCATATCATTAAAAATAGTAGGTACTGAATGTTCTCTCTCGAACACCACAACTGCCATAGCACAAGCTTCTTTAGAGACCCATATTGGGGGGGGGGGGCTTTTAAAATTTATCTTGTAGTGGATTTATAAGTAGATGCCCAAATGTCAAACTAGTCAATCTCCTGATTTGTTTTGCTGCCAGCAACACAATTTTTTTCTCTAACACCCAAACAGCCTCACTCAGGTAGTTTTTTCTGCACTATGCAGATCAAGTCCATCTATTCTCATGCCTAAATTCTCTAAATGTAGTAATTAGGAGGTTTTTTTAAAAGTGATTATATGTGCTGTAACTTCCTATGCATAGAGTCTGCCAGAAACCTTCACTCTAGGCTTGGCTATGCTAAAGAAAAAGTGTTGCAAGAAAACATTCCTTATAATTCTTTGAATTACAGGGCTTGTACAACCGTCTGACAAGCCCAGGGGCAAAGGCTGGCAAATGCAAAGCTACTTCTAGCTCCCACAGGCTTCGCCATCAACTGGCTGTGGTCTCTTAGGTAAAGTTCTTAGGAAAATAAAATGTTCTCTGCACATCAAATAAACATTGTTCCTTGTTCATGTGGAAGCCCTGTTTTGGCCACTGCCCACCCTGCAACTCATGAAGAAAATGAGGAATGTATTCTCCAGATGCTGCCTGCTGCATGAGGCGAGGCTGAATAATAAAGGAGGCGGGGATTTAAGTAACTGGGAAGTGGGAGTTCACTCCTTGTACAAGGATGATAAAAATAAATCTTGAGCCATTCTGTCATCTGACCTTTAAGCTGAATGATGAAGTGATATTGATGGGTGGAAAGCATGTTGTTATGTCATTCATTAGAAAATGTATTGCAATGCAGGCCTGAGATTGCATTAGCAAGCATTACTGTGTCCTGACTCTAGAATATTTCATTTATCAATAAATATATTTGATCACCTTTTCTTATGGCTAAAATTCAGCATTGTCAACATTCCTCTATATTGGCGCTTGCAACATGAAACTGTTGGCTTGGTTTTTATGATGATTCTTTTTCAACCAAAATAAAACCATAACCCACTCTTCTTCTGTCTTCCATTCAAAAAATCCCAACTCTTTAGCATATTCTTTTTTAATAATTAAACCACATTTAACAGAAGTTTGCAAAATTTCTTTAACCATGCAAAGCATTTTACATGATGCACCTAATCTAACTGCTATTGTATTAAGAAAGAGGCAGTCACTTATAGTGATACATAGGATCAGTAAGTAAGGATACTTAATGGCACTGATGCTTATGGCTATGATAGTACAAAGAATGGAGCTTCACCAGGAAGCTTAACACTGTCACACATCCTGCCCTGAGATGCCATGCTTCCTGTTGACACCCTCTCAAAGAGAGACAGGAATCAGTCACAAGGGGTAAGGAAAAAAACAAAAGCAAGCTGGATTGAAGCTGAGTTAATGCTGTCCTTACCAGACACATTGTTTACGGTGATTGTCTAAAACCAAAATGTGGACACCTAAAAACTGGTTTATCAGCACAGGCAGAATATAAAAGGCACAAGAAGAAAGTCAAAGAAGTGAAAAACTTTAAATACACCTTTCATGTGTATGTTGTTTTCACCCTTCAAGAACCTCCTAAAAGGATTTCTTCAATAGTATGTCTGCAAAAGTCAGAGGTAAATGAGCAAACCGTAGAAGAGCTATCAGCAGTAGTATAGCCACACGAGTGTGGGATTTTGCCTGTTCCTGCCTAGAAGGTAGGCAAACAATGCAAGACAGAGCATTGGTCAGGAGAGCTGGATTTAGGGCAGGCTCATTTGCATCTGTACAGCATTGCACTGTACATTTACCCAAATAAGGTTTTTTTAAGTTTCTAGACATTACTTAAATTGTTCCTTTGGGTTTTAAAGATATTCTTTAAGTTCTGCGTGTCAGAACTGTGCAGCTTACAGCCTGTGACTGATTTATTGCCTAATGTGAACTTAGAAAGAAGTAATCACACTTTGGGGTGAGGACATTTAGGGGTGAGGTGGCATGAAATGAGAAATTAAGCACTGTGTAGTAGGAGAGCGGAGGATGAAAGGAGGCATGAGAAAGGGCAAATGGGGATAAACTAAAACTTTAAGGGGAAAAGCCAGAGGCAGGAGGGGAGCTAAGGGGTATGTGACTCAAATGGAATGGCAGGGAGAAGTAAGAATTCAAGCTGTAGAAGTGGGATCCATGTTAAAGAGGTAGATACACATAATAGGAAAATGGGGAAGGGCTGAACTGGCATGGTGGAAGTGATGTGTATAGGGGCTTTTTACCTCTTGCCCCACAATCTGCATAACAAATTGTATGTGCTGGATAAACCGTTGAGTCCCATGCAGTGGGAGCACTGGACTGGAGGAGGAAAGCATGGGAATAGGAGGCTAATGTCACTGCACACAGGTCTAACCAAACTGTAATAGCTGTAGGACTAAACTGTTAGCCCTAGAATAATAATAAAAAGCTAGGCATCTCATATGAATGTCTAGTGCCCATGTTTAAAAACCTGGTTTCAGGCCTTGAGGAAACAGTCTCATGTTTCCAACAGAAGCCAGAAACTGGTTGTCTTCAACAGACCACCCATGTTTTTGAGTTGTGCATGTCTTCTCTACATAATCATTCTCTGCTACTTCCCAAATCTGCCATGTGCAGTTTTGCAACAAGGATGGTTGTAGAAGATGCACATATCTTTCTGTGGCTTTTTTTAACTCTTCTTTTTACTTTTTTTTTTTTAGATCTATACTTAGCTATAAGTGTTTCCAAACTGAGAGGATTAAACAGAAACTTCTTCATCCCTGCAAATTTCTGTCTTCCAGTTACCACATGTAGCATGACCATGTACTAATGGAGTTGAGCTCATCACTGAAGAAGCGATGCTACTTAGAACAGTGCATAACAGATCGATCAGAATTTAAAATACAAAAATTTTTTAAAAAGGTAGCAGTGCTCCATGACCTCTGTGTTTAAGACAGGCACTGCACATCAAGGTTTGCCACTCCCTTGTACCTCCACAGTGTTTGTGTCTTAGGGAATGGAGGATGAAAGGTACAAATGCTGCTGATTCCTCACTGCCCTGAGGTGATATTGCCTTACCTATATCACATGATTTTTGGCTGTTTGCACAAGCACAAAAGCATGCTAGCAGGCACTGTGCCCATACTGGAGAGACTATAATGAAATCAGGAGTATGAGGCACAAGCTGTATGGAAGTGCTTCCTGTCCTCAGCAAATAAAGGAGAGGGTCTCACAGCTCTTGTTCTTCCCCAAGTCCATCACCAGTGATTTCCTTCTTCCCCTTTCTGGAAGTCACTCGTGTTTACAGCTTGTCCTTGAACCAAGGGGTTCTTTTTAAGGAGAGTGGAAGGAAGGAAGGAAACTGGTTTCTTATTCCAGTGAGGAATCATCTCATTTTCTGTGGTAGCTCTCTTCACCTCTGTCTTTCTGTCACAGGGTGATTCTGGTTAACATGAGTAGAAAGTCCCTGCTTGCCTCCACTAACATCTGCCCACTAAGATCCTTTGGGTTGTGAACCCCCAGGACAGGGTATATCCACCCTAGAAGATCTGGAAAGTACTTAGGCACTGGTAGTCTAGAAACAGTTTAGTGAGAAATGGGGAAAGCCAGAACAGGTAAAGAGGCTAGAAAGCATATAGAGCAAAAAGTAGAAAGTAAGGTGGGTTGGTATTTTTCCCCAGTGCTAGTACAACAGGTAAATGAAGAAGCCTAAGCTAGCCATTAATAATTCCAGTTTAGAAAACAGAACAAAGTTCTTAAATATGGGAACAGCGAAAACCTGGAACAGACTTAAAGCTGGAGTATTGGTGGGACATGAACAGCTTAAAAGTCAGAGGCTGATATACAAGGGACCAAAGTAACCAAGAAGGTCCTGCCCATTCATCTATACTTAGGAGTAGGAATGCAAAAATACTAAATGCAAGATATAAAATTAAAGATGATAAAGAGGCAAAAATGGAGAGAGGGAATGAGTGAGAGAAGGAATTAATAAGGAGATTAATTTGCACTGGAGAGGAAATTTTCAATGGAGCATTTGAAATAAAAGCAAGTAAAATATTTATTAAAATTTGCTTTGGGTTCAAACATTCATTTT